AAAAAAAAATTACACTTAACTGAAAACAGTTCTTAAGAGTGACAATTTCAGGAGGAAATTAATTGCAGTGTTTTTGTTTTTTGAAGATGATAAGAAGACACTAGTATTTAATACTTTTTGTAAGAATACTATGAGTGTGTTTCTGTCTTAGTTTGTAGGCCTTCATTGAGGAATGAGTATCTTTTAATTGAAGTTTTAATTCATGAAATAACAGTAGAACAAATATATTTTATTAATAATAACAAGTTAACATTGGCTGGGTAATTTGCCTCCATATATCTATGTATTGCATTCTAGCAGCTAATGTATTTAATAACTGTTAATAATTAAGTTTAAGAAACAAAGCTCTAATAAGGGAACAAGTACATACTGAAGTCAGTGTGGGCTAAAGCCATCACAGGCAACAAAGTGTCCAGTGTCTGTGATAATAGAAGAAAGTGGCCTTAAAGAATATTTGTGTTGATAAGTAGAGTTGATGGTTAGGATTTGAATAGAATATAAGTGGATACGGAGGACTTTAATGACAATTTCACAATTTGAGCTTTAATCTAAACATGTATATATAATTGTATGTTTTTATATGTTCTTAATTGAAAAAATGAAGCTCAATTTTAGGAAAATTAATCTTAAAATACTCTTGATATTTAGTGAATACTTTTTAAACATTTATTTTTAAAGTATTTTTTTAAATTTTTATTTATTTATGATAGGGAGAGAGAGAGAGAGAGAGAGAGAGAGAGAGGCAGAGACACAGGCAGAGGGAGAAGCAGGCTCCAGGCAGGGAGCCCGTCGTGGGACTCGATCCCGGGCCTCCAGGATCACACCCTGGCTGCAGGTGGCGCTAAACCGCTGAACCACTGGGGCTGCCCCCCCCCCCCCGTTTTTTTTTAAAGAACATGTAATACACAAGTGCTATAGACTGAATGTGTTCTCCCACACAATTTATATGCTGAAATCCTCACCCCCAAATGGTGGTGTTAGGAGGTGGGGCCTTCGGAAGATGATTAGGTCATGAGAATGGAGCTTTCATGAAGGTGTTAGTTCTCTTACTAAAGAGATCCCCATGAGCTTCTCTGCCTCTGCCATCATTTGATGACATAGCAGGAAGACTCGTTTTTGAGCCACAAAGGTGGCCCTTGACAGTAGCTGAATCTACCCGAACCTTGATCTGGCCCATCATGTCTTCTAATCCCCACCCATGGATCTACAAGACTTTGTTATTGGGCAAGTGGTGATTAACCAGATAATTCTCAAATTTTAACTGAGGGCAAAGAAGTTGACCAGCTGAAATGAAGGCCAGGGAAAAGTCAGAGAAAATCCTTTAAATCTTTCTCGTATAGGAGCAGAGGCAAGGAAAATTTTCAGTGCCCACCATTTTTTTTTTTTTAACTCTGCAACTTGTGAAAAAAAGTAGGAAACTCTACAATTCATACTAAAAAATCATCACAGCACATGCAAATCAAGTTTTTAAAATAAGAAAGAAACACTAAGGCTCTCCCTGCCCCAAAAATAGTCTCTCTCCCTCTTTTTTTTGTTCTGTAGAATTCAGTAAAACTTTGAATTCAAGAAGGTCAAAAGCAGACAGTTGCCAGAGGAAGCAAAGTTATGAGCAACATTATTTTAGAAGTGCTTTGCAGATGAGGAATAGAATACAACTGATACTAGGTTATTATAGTGGGAAATTTGAGATAATTACAGTGTGTTCTAAGTAAAAATTAAAAGAAAATACATGTGAATGATAATAAAGGCATCCAACATATGGATAATGCTTACTCTGAAAGCTAGAAGGAAATTTTCTTGAAATGACTGATGCTGTAAGATCTAATGGGTATATCTGTGGGAAAAATTGAGGAATAACAATTGCCACGTCAGCGTGTGCTGATTTTGATTAGGGTTTCAAATTTCCTCATAAAGAACCCTTCAGAGGGACCTAAGGTGCCAAAAAAAAAAAAAAAAATCAAAACTTACAGAAAAGAAGAATACTCTGACCTCTTGCATTTCAACAACATTCACTATCCAAATACAATGAAGCTTTGCCTATGAACTTGGAGGGGAGTGCGAGTGGAATCCAAGAATATGACCACCAGCCACACAGGCAGTTGTAAAGATGATAGGGGAAAAATAAAATACACTGTCTACATGTATCATTAAAACTCTGATGTTGAGGTCTACCAGGTAACATAATGAATGAAGAATAGGTGAACGATAAATGGAGTAGAAGTATCCATTGCTTGGAAATGGTGGAACAGTGATTACAAAGATATGAGGAAGAGAATGAGCCAAACTTTTATTCCCAAACAAGCTCTACTTTGAGTCTAAAAGCAAAATCTCAAGGAATGTAAAAATGTTGAGGCTTTTGTTAAAAAAAAAAAATCAACTAAACAAACTACTTGCAGATAAAGTTCATCACATGAAGAAGTAAATTAAAATGAACTAGAAATGGAGAAATTATGTGTTAAAAGTCAGCATTTTGGCATGTACATACATCTACATTGCGGGTATTATGGTCCTAGAATAGAATGTGAATCTAATAAATCTTGTCAGAGTAAAAACAGTATGATTGACAAGAACAAGGCTTGAGGTGAAAGTTTAAGTGTACTATTTGTTTTCCTCTATAGAGGGAGGTCACCAAATACTGACAAATGAAATGTGAGGCCATTAAAAATCCAGTGTCTTAATCCTCTTCATGCTACCTTCTCTTAAAGTTTAGAAGCTTAGTGCTCTGGGAGTGACAAATGATCTCAAGCTTAGCAGCATCTTCAGGTTTACCTTATTCAGTTTTCTTTCCTAACTAGTTAAAAAAAAAAAAACTGCATGTCATCTCATTTGAATATATTACTGCCTTTGTTTCAGTATCCTTTTGTCTTACCATCTTATTGCATATATTAATAGGGAGTTGTTGGAATGATGCTTATCTAATGTTTAAGGTTAATTGTTACTAGGTAGGGCTATTTTTGGATTTTTTTTTTTACCTTTTCCAAGTTGTTGGTTTTAAGAACATAAACCATTTTTCTTGAAATGACTTTTTTCTTTTAATAAAAAGAACTGTTGTAAGTTTAAAATACCTAGTTGTTAAGCATTTGCTAGTGACAAAAACATGTTTCTGTGTGCAAGGATCTCATACCCTGTCCTTAAGAATTTTATCTATTTCAGTGCTTAAAAAGCTAAATATCTCCCATGTTCTCATCTTAGATTTTATTTCTGTATACGCAAAAGAAAATTTTAAATTGTTAAAGTTCAAATTTCACTCACATTTGTTAAGATCTGATGATTTGATTGTCTTACTTTGTTGTGTCAAATTTGGCAGGATCTGAGGAATTACATGATATGTGCATCTAGACGCAGTGGGGTGCATTAAAGAAGAATCTTGATATTGGGGAGCACTTGCCTTAGGAACTGTGGGCAAACCAGCCCATCTTCCTGTTACAAAAGAGACATTGTCTTTATTATTCTGGAATGTCAAGCAGATCTGCCTCAGGGAGAGAGATGACTGTACCTTTATTTTCTGGAACATAAGCAAATTTGCTCCAGGAAGAGACATACCTATCTTTGCAAATCTGCGTGCTATGAAAACATCTTTGAAGAGTCAATCTGGAGTAAATTATCTATTAATGCCTTTGAAAATGTTTGGGTATATGAGAAACCCCTGGAAAATTGTCTCCCTGTAATATCTAGAAGATGTGATTCCTTGAACAAACTTAATGTTGTATAATGAAATCCAGTTTCTTCCCTATTCTACTATCAATATAGAGCTGATGCATATGGAACTGTTTTATTAATTTTTTAATGTTCTCTCTGAACTTTGTACTCAATAAGAACTTTAAACTGAAAAAAGTCTTCAAGTTTATGAGCCAACTGATTTCTAGCAATGACTTCAAAACCTCTACTTCTCCTTCTCTAATATTTTGTAAAAATTACAAAGAGCTAAGATGAATCCTGCTTACTATGTAATGCTCGTAGAAGTACATGATTTAATGTTTGACTAAGGGGCAAGCTTTCTATTTTAGAATTGTAGATTTTAAAGAGTTCTACATGTAAAGCCAGTATTAACCACTGGAATGTGACTTTCTGGGGAATTACAATAGCATAGATAAAACATTTTCCTTGTTGAATCATTAAATTTTTATTCATACAAATATAAGAAGAAAAAGATGGAAGTTAATTAGGATATTGAGCTGTATGAAATAAAAATGTCATTAGGAAAATTTTTCTTTTTTAGATTTTATTTATTTGAGAGAGAGAGTGTGCATGTGCACAAGAAGGGGCAGAGGGAGAGAGGGAGAGGGAGAAAGAACCTGAAATACATTCCCTGCTGAGTGGACAGCCCCCATGCAGACTCCATCTCATGACCCTGAGATCCTGAGCTGAAATTGAGTTGGATGCTTAACCATTGGAACCACCCAGGCACCCTCATTGGGAAAATTTTTGTAATGTATGTGCTATTCTAAATCTAGTCTGGGACCACCTCTAGTAATCTCTTCACCTCTTGGTTTGTTATCATTGTCCTAGTTCAAGTTTTATTTCTCTCCTACTTGCACTATTATAATAATCTCTTACTGCTTTTCCTGCTTCAAGTCTTTCCAGGTTTAGTTAAATCTATGTAACTGTAGAATTTTGAATGTTTCCAGAATCATCCAACAACCCCTGTCTAACTAACCTTTTAATAATCCAGCATTTTCTGCAATACATCCTTTGAATAAGAAAAAACAGGTACTTGGTTGTTCCTGCATATATCCTGTACCTTTTCTTATCTAAAACTATTTCCTTTAGTTGTATCTGTGTTTTTCAAAATAGTATTCATTAGTCATGTACTGGTTCAAATGTCTTTTTCTTGGTAGCTTCATTAACTTTAGCCTGAATTATTTTGTTTTTTTATATGGTCTGTGGCTTTATGTGTCTCTAGCAGTTTGTGCTCTTTTGTAACAGTCGTTTAGGTTCTGGTATGGTCTTTCCATCTAGTTTATAAGCTCTTTTTTCTTCTATTTTATTTTTCCTCCTAGCATGTAAAGGTCACGTCTGGAGCTCTGTGTCCTGCTGGCAGAGATCTTGAGCAAATCATCCTAGAGCAATGCTACAGTTATGTATGTGTGAATGTAAGTGAATTTAAATGACTGAAAACACTTGAGGATTAGTATAAATGTAGTGTGGAAGAGAATTTTTTTTCTAGATTCTTAATTATTTGGATTTAAGTTTTTGATAGATGAGTTGTGTTATTCAATATGTATCTGGAAGTTTTATTTTTTAACTTTTGAAGTGAGAAAATAATACTTTATAATAAGCTAGTTCCCATAATGAGAAGAGGGTGGGATTTCTTTAGACAGCATTTTTATTTACCTGGTATGAAGCAGATAAGGTGGAACGATTGAATTAATGAATAGTTCAAATTTTAACAGATATGACCTTATGTGGGTATCCTTTAAAGTGGTTCAAAAAAGTAAAAACTAAATAAGCTGGATAAATATTTTGGGTGCTCATGTAAAAGCTTTCTGTTTTTTTCCCTTTAATTTTTAATTATCCTTGAACTAACTTTTAAATCATTTAAGAACTTCTTTATTTTTTTGGTCTTTCAGGTTATGTCCTCTGATTTTGAGAAAACCAGGAGATTACTGAATATGCTTGAAGAGAGTAATCTTTCCATTTTATATCCTATTGTTGTTATTTCAGTAAGTGAATTGATGCAGATTTTTTTTTTTTTAATTAAAGTTAGTTAACATAAGTGTAGTATTGGTTTCAGGAGTAGAATTTAATGCCCTCCTTAATGCCCCTCCCCCTACCTGCCTCCCCTTCATCAACTCTCAGTTCTTTATAATTAAGAGTCTTTTATGGTTTACCTCCCTCTCTGTTTTTATCTTATTTTTTCCTTCCCTTCCCCTGTGTTCATCTGTTTTGTTTCTTAAATTACTTATATGGATGAAATCGTATATTTGTCTTTCTCTGAGTGACTCACTTTGCTTAGCATTATACTCTATTGCTCCGTCCACGTTGTTGCAAATGGCAACATGTCCTTTTTTTTTTTTTAAGATTTTATTTATTTATTCATGAGAGATACACAGAATGAGAGAGAGGCAGAGACACAGGCAGAGGAAGAAGCAGGCTCCATGCAGGGAGCCCGATGTGGGACTCAATCCCTGGTCTCTAGGATCAGGCCCTGGGCTGAAGGCAGCACTAAACCACTTGAGCCACACGGGCTGCCCCAATATGTCCTTATTTTTTATGCGAGGGAGAGGAAGGTGGAGCAGAGGGAGAGAGAGAATCTTAAGACTCTATGCCCAGAGTGGAGCCCAGTGTGGGGCTTGATCGCAAAACACTGAGATCATGACCTGAGCTGAAATAGTCAGGTGCCTAACCAAATGAGCTATCCTGGTGCCCCTCATTCTTTTTGATGGCTTAGTATCCTTCCATTTGTGTGTGTGTGTGTGTGTGTGTGTGTGTGTGTGTATATGTGTATGTGTGTGTATATATATATATCACATCTTCTTTACCAATGCAGATTTAACTCTCTTCGAGCTTAGGCTTCCTTCCTTGAAATTCAACTTTTTATTCATTGTTGAGGATATTCATCGAGCCTAGAAAAAGAAACTCTTCTCTATGCATTCTTGAACCTGCTTTCTTGCTATGACTTCTATGACTGTTTTCCCTTGTTAATGCAAATATTTGTTTGAATTGACAAGTTTAGGAAAAAAATAATCTAGCAACCAGTTTCATTTCTTTTTCTTCATTTCAATTGCAAAGTTTACTGCTGAGCCAGTTGTTTGGATAATATAAAAGAGCTTTATTACCATGTTAGCAGAATGCCATTGGAAAAGAAATCCTAAAGTTAAAAAAAGAGGGAAAATATGTGGAAGAAAACGGACTGTTTGATTGTTTCATCTTCTCTGTCACATGGACAGCAAAAGTAGAATGAGAAACACATGAAAGAGAATTCCTCAAAGAATGGCTCATGAAAATTTTGAAGAGACATTTCCTGTGAAAGACTAAAAGTACATGTTTAATATAGCATTTGCTTAATTGGCCTATTAAACTGCAAAGAAGAGGGGGATCTCAGCACAACCTGGAAGGAATAAAATCAGAGGCTAGCTGAGGAGAGTCTGTAGTCTGTGACATTTTCCTGTGGGAAAGGGTTCCAAAAGTGAAGTTTCAAAACAGCAATTGCCTTGTTTCTAAAGCTCAAGCCCATCCTGATAGTATCATAAGTTAATTCTTGTTAAGATGATTAATACTGAAAGAAAAGATGATTTGTACTACAAATAAGTTGGAAATCTAGCATTGCAAGTATAAACAAATTAGCAATTGGGGGAGATTGATTTCACTGGACTATTGTATTTGGTTATATACCCTAAAGATAAGTTGCATGGATGCTGCTAATTATGGAAACTCAAATTCTACAAATGACTGATTTTAACAAAAAGGCAGGTGTCTTTTATTGGGGTGTTTTGGGGAACATTATGGAATATACTTGATGCTGGAAGACTCTAAGTCTCTGTAGGGTACAAGTAGGCTTAAAATTCTGTGTATGGCTCTCTATTCCTTCCTCTACATTAACTAGCTTAGAAATATCATTCTCTCTATGTTCCTAGGTAATATTCTAAAATTTCATATATCAGTATCATGAAGGGAGCAAGCACTTTAAACTCAGAATTCGTCAGTTCCTTGGTCAAGTCACTTGCCTTCCTAAAGCTTGCTTTCTGCATTTTATAAATGAGGCTAATAACTCTACTCCTTATATCATTGTAAGAATTAAAATGAATGAATGGAAGCATAAACGCATAATGCAGTTGCTGTCTCTTTGGCAGGCATGCAGGGCTGAATTTAACATCCTAGCTCCTTCTCTTTCCATTTTAGATAAGATGATTCAAAGGTCACTACCAATGCTCTAATCTGATTCCTGAGTTTGAAATATACATGTTTCAACATTCTTTTAGGTACTTCAGCTTGAGTACTTCATTATCTTCTCACAGGTACTATATTGGATCTACCACAAAAGCACATATCCTATGAGCTGACTTTTTTAGTGGCAGTAGTTGTCATAGGCAACCAGGTGGGAATCTGTGTCATCTATGTTTTCTATTTATCTTTTGCCTCTGCCTTTCATCGTCAAACATGCATGCCTGGGTACATACACATACAGATTTAAAACAGTTCTACTTCATTTCTACTATTGTATCTCAGCCTCTGTTCTTGGTATTTTTTCCATAAATATTTTAATTTAACTTTCTGTTTATTCCTGTTGAGTTCTACTCTTCTATGTATCCCAGTAAGAGCTGGAGGAGGGTTTTTTTTTTTTCCAGAGATTTTATTTATTTATTCATAGAAACAGAGAGGCAGAGACACAGGCAGAGGAGAAGCAGGCATCATACAGAGAGCCTGACGTGGGACTCGATCCAGGGTCTCCAGGATCACGGCCTGGGCTGCAGGCGGTGCCAAACCACTGCGCCACCGGGGCTGCCCGAGCCAGAGTTTTTAAAAATTATGTATGTATGTATGTATGTATTTCTAGTATTCTTTATTAAACTAAGAAAAAGACAGCTAATCCTCTCATTAGGTAGTAAATGTCTCTCAGAACTACTTTGAGGAGAGTAATACTAAAAGTCTGTATACTATAAACATTGTTAAATGTTTACTTTAGAGAGTTGTTACTATTCCATGAGTAATATTAGTTCACCCATTATTTTCTCATTGTGTACATAGACTCAGTGTAGGAGTATTTAAAGTTATTATTAAATTTAATAGGAAAATGTCATTAGAACACATCTGGAATCTGTATCCTTAGGATACAGAGGATGGACTGAATCATGGGAAAGGTAGAATAAAGAATGCTGCCTTCTTGATTTGAGAGGCAAGTGAATTTGTCTGAAATTTTCATTGGTCCTATAAATGATTATAATAGGCTTCATTCTATTTCTTTTTGTTAGTACTTTCCCCCAAAAGGCTAAAAGACCATTTCAAGTGTTCCTATAACTTAATATTGGACAGATTTAATATTAAATATAATTAATATCTAATTAATTTTATAATATTTTAATATTTAATACGTTAAATATGAATATTTATATTCATTAATATATATTAATATAACTTTAATATTTCACAAATTAGTTGAGTATAAAATATTATAATTGCAGAATACATAAAAGACTTAAAATTTGAGTGTAAATATCTGGGACATAATTTGCACATTAAGTGGAAAAATACATATGTACATAAAATGGGGTTGTAAGTGTGCATATATATATGTAATTGGAAAGATGTTGCAATATGCAGCTCATAGACTATGGGTGTACCTATCAGGCTTTTATCTGAATTACTTTGCTGGAAGATTAAGTCATACTATGGGAGGTTTTTGTTTTGTTTTGTTTTGTTTTTGATAAGGCTTTTGTTAAACAATTCTAAATTTTGAGAATGTTCAAAGAAGACTTTGTTTATTTGCTTTCTTGTGCAAGTAGGTTTTATTTACCAGAAAATAAATCTAAAATGACATCAAGGTCATGGAAAAATATATCGATTTTTATTTTGGAGTTATGTGATTCAGTAGTTATTGAATGCATGTATTGTAAATGTTTAAAGAGCTATTTTGTCTTGGCTGAAATGTAGTACAATGGTCCTATTTTTCTATGTGAGGGTGTATAAATTTCTAGTTTCAGTTCATCTGAACAGAGGAAGGATTAGTAGGAATCAGGCAGATGAGAAGTAAAATAGGGTTAATTAGGTATTTGTGAGGGTTTTTTCAACTGAGAGACTGGTTAGGGTGGTTATTTGCATTGCTACCATGTTTCACTCTACAAGGACAGATTTTTAGAAGAAACAGAGCTGAAGTTAAGCTGGGGCATCTGTTTGGCAAAAACAACACTTTAAAGGGCCAAAAATTGGTGTTCGATCTGCCATGATGGTGAAGCCCACATTTTGTCTCTTACATTCTCAAGGAGCTATAGAAAAGTATTTTGGAATTCAGTATTGTTATTTAGTAGTCATTTAAAAAGTACATGTGCCTTCAACCTCATCTGGAATGTTTATCCCTTGGAAGGAGCTAAGCACTGAAGGAGTGACCAGTTAGTGTCATTGGATTCTTGGTACACAGGTGTTGAGCATCATTAGATTTTATTTCAGGGTGTTGATTGTTTGTTGAAAGATCAATTTCTCCTTGGCTTTTATGAAACTTAAATGTGTTAGGGAATACTGACTTTAGGACGTTTCGTTTGTCTAAAATGAACCGACAGGTAAAATGCTACTACTTTAAGTTCTACTTAAGAGCAGGACGCCTGGGTGGCTCAGCAGTTGAGCATCTGCCTTTAGCTTAGGGCTTGATCCCAGTCCCAGGATTGAGGTCTGCGTCTGACTCCCTGTGAGGAGCCTGCTTCTCCCTCTGCCTGTGTCTCTGCCTCTCTCTCTCTGTCTCTCATGAATAAATAAATAAAATCTGTAAAAAAAAAAAATCTACTTAAGAAGAAACAAAATTTCACCATGAAAAATAGAAAAAATAATTAGGACTTTATCTTAAAATAACTAAGCTTTTATCAAAATAATTTTATCTTTATGAAAAAGAAACATTTTTGCTTAATCTTGTGAACATTATATGATAAATTGTGACATCCTTCATTTCAAGTGATCATTTTTACAAATAATATTTATGAATATCTTTAGTTTTGTTAAAATAGATTTTACTGAT